TCGCCACCCGACAGGTGCGTTCCAAAAAACTACAGTTACAAATTAACTCTTTACTTCCCAGGACATGTATACATACGGGATGTCCGATAAAGACCCGAATAACGCTTAAGAGGAGATTTCTGAAATCATTTTGAGACAAAAATTCCAATTTCAAAATGTTGAGGCTATAATAATTTTTGAATTATAAGCGTTTAAAATTAACGAATCATATCGTCTAAAATTAGCGCACTCGGGAACGGCACAACGCAAAATGCTAAACGCAAAACTAACATCATCTGTTAATATCAATTTTAAAATAAACTCAGGAATCTTCTCTCAAGTGTTGTTCAGATTTTTACCCCTATATCATATATGTGCACACATACACACACAATTAGGCCTAATTATATATATTGGATCAATAGGTTTGTTCGCGTTGCTTGAAATTTCTAAAAACTTTTTTATTAAAAATGGAATAGATACATATTTGAGCGTTGAAAAAATATAAGATTCTAACTGCAAAAAATTCAGCAATGCGAATAGACCTATTTTCTTATATTAATTTCGAACATAATGCAAATAATATCACTACATATGATGTATTTAAATTTGAAATTATATACGTGATTTTTGGAACGCAATTAAGATGACATTAAAGTCACATAAAAAAGGCGTACGTTGAGGGTTACATCAGTAGTCATAAAAGTACGTACTTCTAACGGCATTAATATTATACGTTATCATGTTTGTTGAATGATCGCCTAAATCGTTCCTATATGAGTCTTTTTTTAAATCATATTTGCTTTGTGAAAGTATTGAATTTATTATAAACGAAAATAATTAAAAATATAAAATTAATAAACAAGAATCATTAACTAATATCTAATAATTAATCAATATCTAAATTTAGTAATTTATTGAAAAAATCAATTAATTATTAAATAACAATAATGAAAAAACAAATGACGTCAAAATAAAATTAGCTCAAATATATTTTTGCACTTGACATTTCTATATATATTGATATCAATTATTAGTTTTATTATTGTCAATTATCAGTTTTATCTTGTGATGGTATGATTTCAAAAACTTGATAGATTTTGTAAAAGTATTTATTTAATCTTTATATAATAATATTACAAACATATATATACAATGTAAAATATTCTATAATAAATCTTCTTTTATAAAAATACAAAAATTTATAATAAAATTGGATAATTACGTTGTTATCAGTTATATAAGTTAATTAAAAATTAATGTTAGGTATACCTGATTTTTTTAAACGCAGCTAACGTTCATAAAACAAGACGGTAGATTATTATATATGTCCATCTCATTTTTTATTTAATAATAATATAAAATATTAATAAGGTACGATTTAGGTGACTAATACGTATTCGGCAATTTTTCTCTATATTATGACAAACATACGAAAATGTGCGATATTGCAATGATTTTATCAAATCGATATTTTCTTTTGCTGAAATAAATGTTTATTACCTAGTAAATCAATAATTATAATATTTATTACATTTAAATTAATTTGAAAACGGTATATTTCCAAAACAATTCCATCTTGTCAGAACCAGTTACTCAGAGCGAATTAAATCTTTTTTCTATACATATACATGGTTGCACAAGAATTATTTTATGATTAAGTCGATTATTCTGTGAGTTATGAATAATAGAAAGAATATGTAAAATAACAATCGTGCGAATGTCTAGACGCACGCAATTTTATATTCATGCAGATGTATTAATAACTCAATAATATTTTCTCTAAACAAGAGCTAATATAATGTCATGGCAATTAAGTAATTGTCAGAATGTTTGTCAAAGATAAACTTTTACTACTGAAAAAATAAGATAATCAAAAGGCTCAGAATAAATCACAAAAACAAACAAGATGCTAATATGAGCCAATACAAGTTCTTAGTGTGCACTTTTCATACAATTTATTAAAAATAAATAATAAAACGTATACATTTCGATCTACGGTTAAGGTCCTATTCAGTACATGTTTTAAAATAATATAAAATTAACAATTAAAAATAAAATTACGTACCATATATGATGGTAGCGCATACAACTATACTTAATTAAAGTGTGAGATAAGAAATACTTTACTGTTGATATATTGTGATTAATAGTATAAGTCTCAATCCACTTGTTTTCCAATAGCTGCAAAAATAATATCTTGCAATCAATTCTAGACTCGCAAGCAATGATGAAGTAATGTCATCCAGATAACTACCATTAGTCATAATCCGTTTTTTTTTCTCTTCTTTACGTCAGAATAAATATAAAGACTAATCAAATATACGTGTATTAATAATATGCGTCGCTCTTCTCTCTTTGGCAAAATTCTACTGCATGTAAAAATTCCTTTCTTCTTGCAAGAAGTAAATCAGTACATTGACCTAAATCGTAAACTATTATAAATAGGTCTGTTATTTTTAGCTAAAGTTTTTGCACGGTTCATCTTTCCTCTTCACATTGAAGACAAAAAGAGAAAAATTAAACCATGCAAGAAGTGCAGTTAAAAAGAACAGACCTAATATCATGTGCACAAGCACGCGAATGTGAGAACTGTAAGGCGGCATTCACTTTCGAGTTTCGCAATCGTTACGTTACGTATCTTTGCAATTCAGCAAAATATGCAACAAGACCGAGCAATTTTGTTTCATTAAAGTACGTTTCTTATTTTCTTAAAAAGGTATTTTTACAGAAAATATAAAACAGCAGCATGTACACATAAATATTAAATCTAATCTAAAACGTAATCTAATCTATATAGAAATAAATATATAATTATCAGTGTTTTAATTTGTATAATCAGCACACTTCCGCGCAAAAATGCAGTTATAGTGCCGTCAAAATACTTTTGATATTCCTATTTATGTTCCTATTCTCTCTCAAATATACTGCTACGACAGTCATTTTAAATTCTACAATCGATATACATATACGAAGATGTAACAATATAAACAGAGATTCCGCACATTTCTATGAAATTATCACTCACAGTTTAGAAAAAGTATAGTAGCTTGAAATATATCGCTCTCTCTCTTTCTCTAAGAATCGAATTAAAGATAGATGTGGATAGAACTGAAGAGAGATACTAATATACTCAATTTTTGCCAACGGAACATAGATGCAAAAATTAAGGAATGTGAGCAGTTTAGGACCATGGTATACAGAAAACTTAAGCAGTAAGAAAATCAACATGTTGGATGATCTTAGCCCATGGCACACATAAAAACATAAGATAATTTATATTGAAAAAAATCTCATTACAAAGTAACATAATGAAATCATGTAATTGAAATAAGTAAATCACGTAATTGTTCGAAACGGATTGTTTCGAAGTTATGTTCCAAAATTGATTGTCTTTACTGAAAATCTATAATGCACATAATGTGAACTGTAGCCTTTTCAACACTAGCAATAAATTTAGGACACAGCCTAAATCAGTACACAATTTGTTTAAATTACGTAATTTAAAAAGTCACATGATGATATGTTTTTTCCCCTCTACGTCACATTTATTTGTCGAATTAAATGATACGATTTCGTTATATAACTCTGCGACGTGATTTTTTTTTAGTAGGGGATGCTATTATACAAATACTTGAAAGTTTTCGATTGACCAATCAGAAAAAAGAATTTTACTAAATGACCAATCCAATAATGCTTCGAAGTATTTGTAGCATCAATGGACCCGCCTATACCACGAAACACCTGTGTGACACGCGCGAATTGGCACGCGTCTTCACTGTTATTAGAAACATTTTACATTATCACACACCTCCTCCGAGAAAGTCGTCTTTCTTTGTCAAGATAGGAAGAATTCTTCTTTGTCCCACGAATTTTCTTTACGTTTACATCGGTGCGAAACGTAGAACGTTCTCCGTGTGAATAACGAGTAACACCGTCATAATCGCAGTGCCGACATCGATGGTAGTGGAGTAGGGAAGTCCGAGCCCGATCTCGGAGGGGTATTCAGACTTCAATGTATTTCTACGAGTCTCCGCTCGCATATCACACATATGTATACGCACGTAACAGACGTTCAGCGTAGACCGTTTACGAATACATATTCCGATCTGCGCGCGTGTGGCACGCAGACTTAACACACACGTACGTACACGCATACGCGTGTTCGCCGTTCTATTGGTGGAAGAGCTTAGTCGTTGACCGTGTAGTACAATCCAGTAGTATATAAGGACAACTCTTCCGCACTGATCATACATTATAACCTGAGGGTGTAACGCAGCGTCACGGTGCAACCTTGTGCGTATTGGTTCGCTCAGTCTACTTTGGGGTTGAACAATTGGCGTTTCTCTTCTTCTCACGCCTCCACAACGCCTCTGGTGGACTTGGCAATTGCCCCAGACCGTTTTCCACCTCCCGGTACGAGACATACTTGTGTCTAGTTTGTGAAAGATCCGACCCTTCGCTCAGAGCACCGGTGAACATTTCTGCAATACGATCCAATCGCCCTACGATCGCCTGCGGCGAAAGACATTGAGTCTCACACTGAAAGAGAATCCTGACTGAATCTGCCGACGTCTTTCGTGAGTCATATGCGTTCGATTCTCTTCTCGATGCTTACTCCGTTATTGCCGAATTTTTCTCTCAACAGTTGCACAGCAAAATTTCTCACGTAATTCTGACTGGGTCTTGCATCTTCAAAAAAAATTGAATAAGTACTTGAGATCTACGGAAAAAAATCACAAATTCCGAGATTGCTGATCTTTCCTGAAATATTGTATATGTTTAGAAAAAAATCGAATACTTTTGAACACTTACATGAGTGATCATTCCGCAGATTTCAAGAAGAGTGCTCGATCTTTTCAAGATTCAGTTAAAATCCGAAAAAATTTTGAAAAAATTTTTGTTTTGTAATCGTCTTGATGAGGAAAGTATAAATTTTGTTTTGCAATCGTCTTGTTGAGAAAAGTATAATAATTAATGAGTATTAATAAGATGATTGAACACCTATAGATTGCAACATCCAATATGATTATCGAAGCAGTCCTAGCAGGAGGATCCTGGGTGACTGTTTTTCTATCCTTCTGTCTACTATCTCTTTTCTCGACCCTGCTAGTGCAACGTGGAAAATTTCTACATGACTTGAGGAACGTGCCTTATCCTACTGCATTGCCTATCATAGGTAATGCTTATCAACTCAACTGCACTCAAGAAGGTAAGCCCTTCTGTGATTGTAATACGTAAAAAACTTTGTCAAACAGTATCCGAGAATGGATTGAAATGGATTAAAATGGATTCAAATTTTCAGAAATACGGATTCATGAATGTTAAAATGAATCCTTTTCAATCCGAATACGTTTTTATTCGTTTATAGGAATTGCATGAAGCATATCTGTATACTTTTCAATCCGAATACGTTTTTATTCATTTATAGGAATTGCATATGGAGCATATCTGTATACTTTTCAATCATAAAATAATATTAGTTTTTTCAGTGCGTTTGTGACCATAGTGAATACTGTTCAATTCATAGTTTTGAATAGGAAACGCAGTTTTTTAATCCAGTTGTATCCAATTGAATCTAATTGAATCCAATTGAATTCAATTGAATCCACAAAAAAGTTTTCGCTGTTTAAAATACGAATTCGAATAGATAAAATCCAATCCATTTTAATCCATTCTCGGATACTGCTAGCGATCGATTACCAGCTGAACTATACATACTCAGAAAGAATAGTTTTGAAATTGCAAATTTAGTTAAATATAGATCTGAAAATAATTTTGTTGGACTATCAAAATAATTATATCGGGTATGGAAAAAAGATCGGTATTCTTGAATAACTCAGAAAATATAAATTTTATAGAAAAATGTTTCAGACAAAAGTTGTAAGGCGTAAAAAAAATCCACTTGCTAATATTATCAGTTTCACTTTGGATAGCATTGCAAACGTCAAAACAAAATCATCTTAAATTTTTTTAAATGTAACGCCTTATATTTTATTGTGTATTAATGTAACCTTCCTTGAGACATTTACAAAACATTATAAGAAAGTATTTTTATAAAACATAAGTTAAGGCTTTAAAATTACAATATCGTTAGCATTAGCATTAGTTGCCTAATCGCATAACATTAAGGTGATAATGTCAGTATAAACCGATAATATCAATAAATAGACTTTTTACGCCCTACAACTTTTGGCTAAAACATTTTTTAAATAAAATTTATATTTTCTTGAGTTATTTAAAGGTACCGACCTTTTTTCCGATCCTGTGTAGCATACTCAATTACTGATTATTGGAATATCAAAACCTTTTGGAGCATTATTCATCATGCTTGAATATTCTAAGTAATTATCTTGATGGTCCAACAAAATTATTCTTGAAACTGTATTTAATTAAATATTTGGATGTTTGACAAAATTGTTTTTTTAATGTTATAAAATAACTTATGCTGATGCATGACTGTCGAAATGTTGGACTAATCGTTGTTGAAAATAAATGTAAACGATATTCGTCGATATAGCTATTATTTGTCGAATAGTTTGCATAAAATATATTATTACGAGAAAAACCGTATATACGAAAAGAATGGTTTTACTGAAATATCTAAAAAATTAGCTCAATACAGATCTGTGTGAAAATAATTTTGTTGACCTATTAAATTATTAATTACAGAACGTTCAAGCTAGTTGCTAGATTGTTAAACTTTTTGTAACATTGCTTATCATGATTGAGTTTTCTACATAGCGATTTTAATATAGTCCAATAAAATTATTTATATTTATAATATATACATACATAAAACATTCGAAATATTATAATGCTGCTTTGCTAAGAATCGAAAATAACAAAATATATAAAAGAGAGAAAATAATAAAAATAATATGTTAAGTTTACAATGCATTTTGTAACTTAAGTTGTATCACAAAAAGTGATTTTTTTGTACAAGATGAGAAGATCAAATTTATCTGATAAAATCACATATGATTTGTTTAATATAGAATATTTTGTTTACATTTTATTCACATATAATAACTATTATATATATGACGGTTTTTATAATACATAACTAACAAACAGTATTAAATAAAATATCTAAAAAAAATTTGGTTTGCAACAAATTATATTTTTATTCATAGAGTGACGCAAATATTTGTGCAGCAAATACATAAATATCCTTATTTAGAAAGATAAAATTAAATTAAAACAACTCCTTATACATTTTAGTATTTAATATTACAAACTACCTCAGATTAATATTACAAATATCATACATCAAAGCATTTGACCTAAAATAAATATATCACAGCATTTTCTGTCCTATGACGCGTAACGCATTTGAAAAGCAATGAATCTTTATTGACATGAGACGACGCTTGCATTTTTCACATGTAAAGGATTTCTTTGTCACATAAATAAACGTAAAAATATCTTGAATAATGTTAAAGTCAAAAGTACAAAAAAAAAAACAGATTTACTTCGGTAAGTAACATCGATATTCTAAAAAAATATTTAAAAATAAAATGTAAGTTAGGTGTGATTTCATATGTGCTTAGAAGGAGGTTTATATTATCAAACTGAAATCTGCGAATTTATTTTAGGGAAAAAAATAATTGGACATTATTTTCACTATCAAGATGTTACTTATTATTATATTTGAGATGTAGAAAGATTAATTTGTAATATAACTTATTAAAAATATAAGAATTTTTCTGTCATTGAAGATAGTCCGAAAATTTCAAATGTTTTGCGTTTTACCACTAATCCGTGACTTTGAACAAAGCAATTTGCCATCTCCTGATCTAGTTTCTCTTAGGGACAGTTTTCACTACAAATTAAACTAAAAATAAACTATTAGGACAACGTTGTTATAAAATATTATATATAACAACATGAATTTTAACTTAATTTTCGCGTAAAAATTAACAATACTTATAACAATAACAGAAACAAAACAATGTGTTTAGAAATTTCTTTGTGGATTTAGTTATAATGAAGAAAGATATATAATGGATAATTTCTATTAAACGCAAGTCGATATCTATTTTGCTTCTCGAGTAACTAGCAAAACTCTCTCTTTTAAAAAATGTAATTTTAAAAAACACCTAAAATTGTTGTTTTTAAATCAAAATTTTATATACATTTTTGAACAGTATACAATTAGCTTGAAGAAACTTTAAACAAATTCTATTTAATATCATTATATAATATGCACGCTGTATGTATTTGAATGATCAGTATTAGAACCTGACAAGACACATTTAAAAGGTTTATATAAACATAGATCTTTCTTAGTTTCTAAAGTATAAAGAATCTTATTGTTTAACCATATAAAACACTTAATGGAACAAGTAATAGAATTAAATAAGACAAAGTTTAAAAGAAACAACTAAATACAGTAAACGCAAGACAGAACATTTTGTTTTTAAAATTATTTAAAATGATCTTCTTTAACCTCGATTCGTTCTCTGAATCTGCGTTTCATACTTTGTCGTACTTTGTTGAATATTCCTGGATATATATAGAATTTTACATAAGTATTTGTTTACACATCAATTTTTTGATAAACTCTCTTAAAATGTAACATTGAGAGAAGATACGAATTTCGCGTGCGCGTGAACTTTAAATGCTTCCAAATGTAAAAATCAATTAAGTTCGAGCATAACAAATCATGCAGTTCGTCATGCAACGGAATGAATTCGGATGTACCCTGAAACCAATACGTTTTTTAAAAAGGTGGCCATTTACGAATACCGACAAACAATTTTTGCAACAAATTGTTTTGTCTTATGTATTTTTATTTTTGTTTGTTTCCTTTAAACTTTATCTTGTCCGATTAATTGTTTGATACTGTTAAATAATAAAACGCTTCCTACCTTAAAAACTAAGTGTTTCTAGACTCAAGTTTATGTAAACTTTTTTAAATGTTTGGTCGATGTGAATATGTTCTCGAAATATTAAATACTCTTATAGCGTTTCCAACCGTAATGGATTTCATTGTTTTGATGTCCATTTCTACCAATGTAGTTTAATTTTAATCTCGATTCAACTAACTTCATTTTTTTCTAGGTTCAAGAATTAGAAAAAAGGGAAGTAGTAAGTTAAAATGTGATTAGAATTAATCTACATTGGTAAAACCGGGCATGAAAGCGGTTAAATCCAATTTGCTAGGAATTTATATGTTTATTCCGAAATGTGTTTTCGTCACTCAGGTCATAAGTCAAGATATCTTTATAAATAACCCAAAATAGAACTTGTGATGCCATTTATCATTCAAAGCTTGCTATAGCTGAAAATGCTATTATCAAATACACCCTCTATTATAAAGTTTTCTAAAAAGAGATCTCCAACAATACATATTATACATAGGGTTTTCTAAAGAAGGATCTACAATAATCGTCTGCAGCTGTTGTCTGTCAGCATGCTACAAAACTGGATTTTTACGTTACATTAAATCTTCGGCACTATTTGGGTTTTCATTTTCGCAATTTTCTGAATTTTTTACTAAAATCAACGACATTCTTTTCTAAAGAAATTAAATCACACTATAATAATCTGTAAAAATAAAAAATCAATCTTTTGACCTTTACAAATCTTCTGCCTCTTCTTAATGATAATCTTTGAAAATATGCCTCTCGCAGAATCCAGTTAAAATTAATCGAATAAGTAAAATATTACGTAATAAATGTTATGCTGTAACATTTACTTTTCTTTTCTTCTGTAAGATATAGAAAATGCAACGTTAGCATTATATCGATAATACATTTAGCACATTCCACGCCGTATCTATATTATTTAAATAAATATAAATCATTACGTCTTATCTTTCGGTACCATTTAAAGTCAAGCATAACTCTTAGTAATCATTACATTTCATCGTACGTTGTGATACAATTATCAATTACACTTTGAATTCGAATCAATGTCTATTTCATTATCATTTCTGACTGGGTAGGAAAGATTATTTATTCCTTTTATATGATTATTATATTGTTTTGTATTAATAATATTTATTAATTTAATTTGTTTAATAAATTTATCATAATTTATGTAATCATCGAAAATCTCGTACAGAAATCATGAAAATGAACTGAGTTTGACTCAAATCGTATCTGACTTTTCACAACCGGATATGCATGTAACAAGATAGTTTGTACAAAACGTACTATCCATTAATCTGCAGTTGCAATTAGTTTGTAAAAAACTTAATAAGAA